GAAGGGAAGGGGGGAGGAAGGAAAGAAAGAAAAAAGAAAGACAGAAAGAAAGAAAAAGAAAGAGGGAAGGGAAGGGAAGGGGGTAGGAAGGAAAGAAAGAAAAAAGAAAAGAAAGAAAGAGAAAGAAAGAAAGAAAGGCTCTTCCCGCCATCTTGGCTCCTGTGGAGGCCTGCTGGGAACGGGACTTCTAAAGGGAACTATGTCTGGAAGGCTGTGGTCCAAGGCCATTTTTGCCGGCTATAAGCGGGGTCTCGGGAACCAAAGGGAGCACACAGCTCTTCTTAAAATTGAAGGTGTTTATGCCCGAGATGAAACAGAATTCTATTTGGGCAAGAGATGCGCTTATGTATACAAAGCAAAGAACAACACAGTGACTCCAGGCGGCAAACCAAATAAAACCAGAGTCATCTGGGGAAAGGTAACTCGGGCCCATGGAAACAGTGGCATGGTTCGTGCCAAATTCCGAAGCAATCTTCCTGCTAAGGCCATCGGACACAGAATCCGAGTGATGCTGTACCCCTCAAGGATTTAAACTAACGAAAAATCAATAAATAAACGTGGATCTGTGCTCTTATATTTTTGTTAAGTGGATTAAAGAACTTACTACCTTAAAAAAAAAAAAAAAGAAAGAAAGAAAGATTAGGGCTGAAGAGTACAGTAACTGAACTGAAAAATGCAATAAATGGGTTCAGTATCGGACTAGATCAAACAGAAGCAAGGATCAACAAACTCAGAAACAGGTAATTGGAAATCATCCAATCTGAGGAGCAAAATAACATAAAATAGTGAAGACAGCATAAGGGACTTTTGGAACACCATCAAGATTGCCAAAGGGTCAGAAGGATAAAAGAGGAGACAGAGAGCTTATATAAAGAAATAATGGCAGAAAACTTCCCAAGCCTGGGAAAGGAAATAGAAATCCAGATCGAAGAAGCCAAAAGGACACCAAATAGGAGAAATCAAAAGAAACCCACACAGAGTTGCATTAAAATCAAATTTTCAAAAGTTAAACACAAAGAGAGAATCTTTAAAGGAGCAAGGAAAAAGTGACTTCTTATGTTCACTTATGTACAAGGTCACCTTAATAAGATCATCGGTGGATTTTTCCACAGAAATCTTGCAGGCCAGAAGGGAGTGGGATGATACATTGTTAGAGAGAAAACAACTGCCATGTGAGAATACTATACTCAGATAACCTGTATTTCATAAATGAAGGAGAAATTAAGACTTTCTCAGACAAACAAAAGTTGAAGGTGTTTAACACTCCTATATCTGCACTACAAGAAATGCTAAAGAGAATTCTCAAGCTGAAGGAAAAGGTCATTTATTAGTAACATGAAAACATATGAAAGTATATAAAACTGGCCAGGCGAGCTGGCTCACACCTGTAATCCCAGCACTTTGGAAGGCCAAGGCAGCCAGACCACTTGAGGTCAGAAGTCCAAGACCAGCCTGGCCAACATGGTGAAACCCTGTCTCTACTAAAAACGCAAAAATTAGCTAGGCATGGTGGCACACGCCTGTAATCCAGCTACTTGGGAAGCTGAGGCAGGAGGTTCGTTTGAACCTGCAAGGCGAGGTTGCAGTGAGCAAAGATCGCACCACCGCATTCCAGCCTGGGTGACAGAATGAGACTCCATCTTAAAAAACAAAAAAACGAAAACGAACTTACAGGTAAAAAATAAGTACATTGTCAAATTCACAACGCTCTAATACTGTAATGGTGAGGTGTAAATCAATTCTCTCTCTAGTTTGAAGATTAAAAGACAAAACTGGAGGCCAGGTGCGGTGGCTCACGCCTATAATCCCAGCACTTTGGGAGGCCCAGGCAGGCAGATCACGAGGTCAGGAGTTCAAGACCAGCCTAGCCAGCATAATGAAACCCCATCTCTACTAAAACTACAAAAAATAAGCTGGCCATGATGGCACGTACCTGTAGTCCCAGCTACTTGGGAGGCTGAGGCAGGAGAATTGCTTGAACCTGGAAGGTGGAGGTTGCAGTGAGCTGAGATTGCGCCATTGCACTCCAGCCTGGGCAACAGAGCGAGACTCCGACTAAAAAAAAAAAAAAATACAAAACACCCATAATTTGTTAATTGACACAAATTACATGTAAACTGTGACATCAAACATAAAACTTTTCTTCGTCCAAGATGGCAGATTAGAGCATGCCTCAGCCACTTGGGAATAGCATGGTAGTGCATAAAGATAAACTCTGCGCACTTTATTTCAAGAAGAAAAATGGAAATCCACTGGAATCATGAACGATAACCCAGAACCTGGGGAAGGGGGTGGGAGCAATCAGCCCCTGCGGCAGTGGCCAGCTGATAAAAGTGAGTGAAACCCAAGCACGTGAAAGAGAGAGAGAGCCTCCCTCTGTGACTCACCTTTCCACTGGGAATCAAAGCAACCCAGTTTAAGGGAGAGCACTTTGTGTCTCTCAAGGCTTAAAGTTAACTTGAGGAGAGGTTTGGAGATGCTAGAAGGAAAGACACTTGGAAAAGCTGATTCAATTACTCCACAATGTACCCGTGTCATTGTATACACATCGCGATGAATACAATGTACACATTAAATTGTACCCCATAAATACATGCAATTATTACTTTTTAATTAAAAATAAAATGAAAAGATAAAAAATATATAGTAGCTCCTGGAAATGTAATATAAGGAATAATAAATAATAAATGTTTGGGGCCAGGCACGGTGGCTCACGCCTGTAATCCCAGCACTTTGGGAGGCTGAGGCGGGCAGATCACCAGGTCAGGAGTTCGAGACAAGCGTGACCAACATGGTGCAACCCGTCTGTAATAAAAATACAAAAATTAACCAGGCATGGTGGTGGGCGCCTGTAATCCCAGTTACTCAGGAGGCGGAAGCAGGAGAATTGCTTGAACCCAGGAGGCAGAGGTTGCAGTGAGCCAAGATCGCACCATTGCATTCCAGCCTGGGCAACAGGGCGAGAGTCCGTCTCAAAAAAAAAAAAAATTAGCCGGGAGCAGTGGCTCATGCCTGTAATCCCAGCAATATAGGCGGCCAAGGCAGTCAGATTACAAGGTCAGGAGTTTGAGACCAGCCTGGCCAATACGGTGAAACTCCATCTCTACTAAAAGTACAAAAATTAGCTGGGCATGGTGGCAGGCACCTGAAGTCCCAGCTACTCTGGAGGCTGAGGCAGGAGAATCACTTGAACCTGGAAGGTGGAGGTTGCAGTAAGCCGAGGTCGTGCCAGTGCACTCCAGCCTGGCGACAGAGCGAGACTCTGTCTCAAAAAAGAAAAAAAAGAAAAAGAAAAAAAAGAAAAAATAAATTTAAAAAATAAGGCTGGGCGCGGTGGCTGATGCCTGTAATCCCAGCACTTTGGGAGGCTGAGGCGGGCGGATCACGAGGTCAGGAGATCGAGACCTTCCTGGCTAACACGGTGAAACCCCGTCTCTACTAAAAATACAAAAAAATTAGCCGGGCGTGGTGGTGGGCGCCTGTAGTCCCAGCTACTTGGGAGGCTGAGGCAGGACAATCCCTTGAACCCAGGAGGTGGAGATTGCAGTGAGCCGAGATCGTGCCACTGTACTCCAGCAGCCTGATGACCAAAAAAAGAAAAACAAACAAAAAAAAAAACGATAGACAGCCCATCCTGTGAACTACAGAGTTTGTGGACAGATATATTTTGGGTTCATAGTGGTGTCATGCACGCACACTTCTGTGAGTTTCTATAAGTTTTTAGAGGACTGCTTTGCCTTTTGTTTTGTTGTTGTTGTTTTGGTTTGTTTTTTGGAGACAGTCTGACTCTGTTGCTCAGGCTGGAGTGCAGTGATGTGATCTCAGCTCACTGAAACCTCTGCCTCTTGGGTTCAAGCTATTCTCCTGCCTCAGCCTCCCAAGTAGCTGGGATTACAGGAGTGCGCCACCACGCCCAGCTAATATTTATATTTTTAGTAAAGATGGTGTTTCCCCATGTTGGCCAGGCTGGTCTCAAACTCCTGACTTCAAGGGATCCTCCCGCCTCAACCTTCCAAGTGTACGAGCCACCATGCCAGACCTGCCTTGACTTTTGATCTGAGAGTTGCAAACTTCTGTAAAGATGCCCTTGTGGATAAACACAAAATCACAAGACAGCGATTGGACAGAATTTGTGAAGGTCTTCACCTCCAGATCACAAACGGCCCCCTGCACCCCCTCCCACTGCTGGCACTGCTGGATGGCTGTGACCGCACCATGGAGATGCCCATCCTGAAGGATCTGGCCCACCACAGCCTTCTGTGATGCATAGTCCACGCAGGGGATCCACGAGAAGGTTCTAAACAAAGCCGTAGGCGCCATGATGTACCACCGTCACCCTCATCAGGGAGGATCTGGAGAAGTTCAAGGCCCTGAGAGTGATCATGTGGATAGGGAAGTGGCTACGACAATGTGGACATCAAGGCTACCAGCAAGCTCCAGATTACTATGTGCTACACCCCTCTGCAGCCGTGGAAGAGGCAGCCGACTCCACTGTCTGCCACATCCTCAATCTGTGCCGGAGGAACACGTGGCTGTACCAGGCACTGTGGGAAGGCACGCAGGTTCAGAGCCTGGAGCAGATCCTCGAGATGGCCTCGGGAGTGGCCCACATTCATGGGGAGGCGCTAGGCCTCATGGGCTTCGGTCACACAGGGCAGGCAGTTGTAGTTCGAACCAAGGCCTTTGGATTCAGCGTCGTATTTTATGACCCCTACTTGTAGGACGGGATAGAGCAGTCCCAGGGTGTGCAGAGGGGACGCCGATACACCCTGCAGGATTTGCTGTATCAGAGTGACTGCGTCTCCTTGCACTGCAATCTCAGTGAACATATCCACCACCTCGTCATTGACTTGACTATAAAGCAGATGAGGCAGGGAGCATTCCTTGTGAACACAGCCCGTGGTGGCCTGGTGGACGAGAAAGCCTTAGCACAGGCCCTCAAGGCGGACAGGATACAAGGGGCAGCCCTCTACTTGCACAAATCGGAGCCCTTTAGCTTTGCTCAGGTTCCTTTGAAAGATGCACCAAATCTCATCTGCACTCCGCACACTGCCTGGGACAGCAAGCAGGGGTCGCTGGAGATGAAGGAGGCAGCTGCCACTGAGATTCGCTGAGCCATCACAGTTCGCATCCCAGAAAGCTTAAGAAACTGTGTGAACAAGGAATTATTTGTCACATCAGCACCTTGGTCAGCAACAGACCAGCAAGCAATTCATCCCGAGCTCAACGGTGCAACATACAGATATCTGCCAGGCATCGTAGGCGTGGATCCAAGAGGACTTCCTGCAGCCATGGAAGGAATCATCCCTGGAGGCGTCCCAATGACTTACAACCTCCTGAGAGTGGCACATCCTTCCCAAGCTCCCTCTCCCAACCAGCCCACAAAACATGGGGACAACTGAGAGCACCCTAATGAGCAATAGCAAAGAATGCCCAAAGGTAATCATTCTGACACACTTGGGACCATGAGCCAGTGAAAAATAGATGTCTTTTTAACTGTCTTTTTAACTGATTCTGGACAGAGGCATCATTGATGTTGCAGTGCTAAAACTACAAGAGCTAGACAACTGAAGATGTCGTCTGCTTATGGAAGTGCTGAAAGACTAGGATGTGATTTACTAACAACCAACTTCCGTTATTGTGTGTTAAGTTTTTCATCTGTGCATCAAATCACAAATAATAGAACTTTTTTCTTTATCGGTCCCTTGGGCACAGCAAGTCCCGAACACCGTTCTCTAGAATGTTGCCTTAAGAGTTCAAACATCAGGCCATGCACGGTGGCTCACGCCTGTAATCCCAGCACTTGGGAGCCCAACGTAGGTGCATCACCTGAGGTCAGGAGTTTGAGACCAGCCTGGCCAAAATGGTGAAACTCTGTCTCTACTAAAAATACAAAAATTAGCGGGCATGGTGGTGAGCGCCTGTAATCCCAGCTATTCAGGAGGCTGAGGTAGGAGAATTGTTTGAATCCAGGAGGTGGAGGTTGCAGTAAGCCAAGATTGTGCCACTGCACTCCAGCCTGGGCAAAAGAACAAGACTCTGTCTCAAGGGGAAAAAAAAAAAAAAGTTCAAACATCAAAATTAAAAATATTAAGAGGAAAGCTTCATCCTGTGACTCTAGTCCCGTGACTCTAGTCCCTTCAGTCTACAGGGGCTGTTTAACTCTTTTTGCTAGTAGGAAGATCATATTGCTACAAAATGGGGAGAAAACTGTTTGCCTGTGGTAGATACCTGCACACATAGGATTGAAAACAGTACAGGCTCCTGCGAGACACGTCTCTCCTCTCATATCTGTGTTTTGTTTTGTTTTGAGATGGAGTCTTGCTGTGTCACCCAGGCTGGAGTGCAGTGGCGAGATCTGGACTCACTGCAACCTCTGCCTCCCAGGGTCAAGCGATTCTCCTGTATCAGCCTCCCAAGTACCCAGGATTACAAGCATACGCCACCACGCCCAGCTAATTTTTGTATTTTTAGTAGTGATGGGGTTTCACCATGTTGGCCAGACTGGTCTCGAACTCCTGACCTCAGGTGATTCACCTGCCTCAGCCTCCCAAAGTGTTGGGATCACAGGCGTGAGCCACTGCGCCCGGCCCCACGCTCACATCTGAATTGCATACTGAGTGGGGAAGTTAGTCATGAGTTCAGTAAAACCCTCTGATGATGCAAAAAAGAAAAAAAAGTATTACGTTTCACAAGCTGTTTGTACTCAAAATACATTTTCTCAGTTTCAGATCCTTTCCTGTTTTATTGAGTGGAAAGTCTTGAACTCAAAGTGTTCAGGAAGAATAATGTTGCATTTCCTTATGTCTCCGGAAACACTTTTAATGGTAACTTGTCACACTGTCTATGAACAAACCCATTTTTTGTAGACATTAATAAAGTCTTCTTTTCTTCATGTGGTATTTTATACAAGAACACTTCAGATGTATTAGATTTGACTGATTTTTAACAAATCCTATTAGATTTATATCAGCTAGTTACATGTTCTATTCATAGACCTTTGTGAATCATTGCCTTTTTGTTTAAAAAGATGGCCTATTTTCCAGGCACGGTGGCTCATGCCTGTAATCCCATCTCTTTGGGAGGCTGAGGCAGGCAGATCACCTGAGATCAGAAGTTCAAGACCAGCCCGACCAACATGGAGAAACCCCATCTCTACTAAAAACACAAAATTAGCCAGGCAATGGTAGTGCATGCCTGTAATCCCAGCTACTTGGGAGGCTGAGGCAGGAGAATCACTTGAACCTGGGAGATGGAGGCTGTGGTGAGCCGAGATCGTACCGTTGCACTCCAGCCTGCCTGGGCAACAAGAGCAAAATTCTAACTCAGAAAAAAAAAAAAAAAAAAAAAGATGGTCTATTTCGAGCCTTTGCATAGGTACACTCCTGTTTTTGTAACAAAAGAAAAACTTTAAAATTGCCCCAAACAGAAAAATAATGGCTATCAGAAATATGTTTTATTTTATTTTATTTTAATTTTTGTTTTGAGATGGAGTCTTTGCTCTGTTGCCCAGGCTTGAATGCAGTGGCATGATCTTGGCGGACTGCAACCTCCACCTCCCAAGCTCAAGCAGTTCTCCTGTCTCGGCCTCCTGAGTAGCTGGTATCACAGATGCCCGCCACCACACCTGGCTAATTTTTGTATTTTTAGTAGAGATGGGGTTTCACCATGTTGCCCAGGCTGGTCTCAAACTGTTGACCTCAGGTGATCCACCCACCTCAGCCTCACAAAGTGCTAGGATTACAGGCGTGAGCCGCCGTGCCTGGTCCAGTTAATAGTTTCAACTATGTAAATCATTACACTAGATTCCCACTCACCATTCTCATTGCCAGCATTCCTGAACTTAAGTTGGCTCTGGAAATTCTCCAACCATAGTGAATCCTATTTTCTATGACCCCATAAATATTGGACATTATTGTGATATGTTAGAATATGAACCCGTGGTTGGGAAAGGCGGTATCATATATGCAGTCTTTCTACCTCTACGTGGTCACATAAGAATGACATCTGACCTGGAACATTTCCTTACCAAGAAATACGGATCCCACATGGGCTGTGCAATGTGTTTGTGTTTTAAGCTAAGTGATATTACAGAAGAGTCAAAAAGTTTTTAAAATTTTGAACGTTTATAAAGTAAAAAAGTTACAGCAAGGAAGCATTATTATGGAAGAAAAACTTTAAATTAATGTAGCCTAAGTGTACAGTGTTTATAAAGTCTAGAGTGGTGTACCGTAATGTCCCAGCCTTCACATTCACTCACCTCTCACCGACTCTCCAGAGCAACTTCCAGTCCTGCAGCCTCCATTCATGGTAAGTACCCTATACAGGTATACCATTTTTTACTTCGTATGCTGATTTTTCGCTGTAGCTTTTGTGTGTTTAGATATGTTTAGATACATAAATACTTACCATTGTGTTCTGTGGGTAAAAGCCACCCAGGTGCTGAGGCAAGAGACTGAGGGCATGAGCTGTTCCAGTACAATATATAAAATAACAAGAGTTATACTAGATATAGATCACAGATATGATTATATATATCACTAATCATTAGTTTGTAGTAATTACTCTTTATTCAAATATTATAATAATCCTCACTCTACAATCATAACCTAGAAAAAAATCAGGCCATAGAGAGATAGGAGCTGAAGGGACATGGTGAGAAGTGAACAGACACAAGAGTGTGAGCCTTCTGTTATGCCTGGACAGGGCTACCAGAGGGTTCCTTGGTCTAGCGGTAATGCCAGTATCTGGAAAGATGCCTGTTACCAAGCAGACCGTGGTCTAGCGGTAGCGTCAGTGCCAAGGAAAAGCACCCGCTACTTAGCAGACCAGCAAAGGGAGTCTCCCTTTCCCTGGGGGAGTTTAGAGAAGACTCTAGTCCACCCCGTCTTGCGGAGGGCCTGACATTAGTCAGGCCTGCCCACAGTTTTCTGGAGGCCTAACTGTCTTCCTGTGATGCTGTGCTTCAGCGGTCACACTCCTGGTCTGCTTCCATGTTCCATTCTGTACACCTGGCTCTGCCTTCTAGATAGCAGTAGCAAAATTAGTGAAAGTACTGAAAGTCTCTGATATGCAGAAATAATGGCGCAAGCTGTCTTCTCTCTCTCTCTCCGCCTCAGCTTCCAAACAGGGAAGGGCCCCCTGTCCAGTGGACATGTGACCTTACCTATCATTGGAGATGACTCACACTCCTTACCCTGCCCCCTTGTCTTGTATCCAATAAATAACAGTGCAGCCTGGCATTTGGGGCCACTACTGGTCTCTGCGTCTTGGTGGTAGTGGTCCCCGGGGCCTAGCTGTCTTTTCATCTCTTTGTCTTTTATCTTTATTTCTACAGTCTCTCATCTCTGCACACGGGGACAAAAACCCACAGACCCTGTGGGGCTGGTCCCTAAAGCGTTCCAACTGTATTCAGTATAAGTACCGTATTCAGTAGAGTAACATGCTGTATAGCTTTGTAGTCTAGGAGCAACAGGTTATACCATATAGCCTAAGTATTCAGTCAGCTATACTGTCTAGGTTTGTGTAAGTACACTCTATAATGATGAAATTATTACACAATGATGAAATTGCCCAACAATGTATTTCTCAGAATGTACTCTTTTTTTTTTTTTTTTTTGAGACCGAGTCTCACTCTGTCACACAGGCTGGAGTGTTGTGGCGCAATCTCGGCTCACTGCAACCTCCACCTCCTGGGTTCAAGTGATTCTCCTGCCTCAGCTTCCAGAGTAGCTGGGACTACAGGTGCGCACCACCACGCCTGGCCAATTTTTGCATTTTTAATATAGATGGGGTTTATGCTATGTTGCCCAGGCTGGTCTCGAACCCCTCAGTCTCCCAAAGTGCTGGGATTACAGGCGTGAACCACCGCGCCCGGCCAAAATATATCCTTATTATTAAGCTATGCATTACTGTGTATACAATATCTTTATAGGTCAAAAGCAGTCAAATATTGGCCATAAGATATACTTAGTCCAAGTACACAAATAATTGCAGAAGGAGAAAGTGAAACTCCTCTTACTTCCTGTTGCACTCATTTATCACAAAGTACACAGAAGTCAGAATAACACCTGCCCTTTGCAATTTCACACTCCTCTCTTTCTGCCTCTCCAAACCTGTCCCACGTTTGGCGATTCCTTTCCTTCGACCTCCCCCATCACGTCGCAGGTTCCTGGTCTACACCCCTTCTGCCTCTCCAATTAGTTTTGAGTCTCACAACCTCTGGTCCCATAACCCCTCTGCACTAAGGAGCACTAAAAGGCCAAAACAGCAACCCGGCGTGTTTGCGCCTGCGTACTCTGGGCGCACAGCACTCAGGCCTACAGCGCAGCGCCGGCTTATCTGTGAGAGCAATTAAGATGACTTTCGGAGGGTCCAACCGCCTTCCCAGCTCCGAACTACATCTCCCAGAAGGCTCAGCTGTGCGATTATCTTTCCGTGTGGACTTGTCCTCTTTGTGAGGCTGTCCAGCGCCTGGGGGCAGTAGGACGGGTCCGGGAACTAAGCCCATCTCAAACACGTCGGAGTGGCTTTCTTTGGGGGCCAAGGCTCGAGCCTGAGCCAGGGCTCCGTGAGGCCTCTGGGGCGCGAGCGGTTTGATGAGGGGGGCGATCCTTTCGGCTGGGCTGACGCTAGGCGCGGACAGCAATTCTGACAATCGGGAGCCATCTTCTCCGGCCTTGATACGTCTCTGACTACGTTTCCCAGAGGACTCCTCGGCAAGACTGTATTTCTCGCGGGAATTCAGCATCCAAGTCACGCGCTGGCGGGACCCTGAGGGCTTTACCAGCAACTACCCCAGTGCTGGGGAGGATTCTGCTGCTTCGGAAGCTCGTAAGGCCGGAGGTGAGGAACCCGGGAGAGGGCGGGGCCGGGGGCCGGGCCTCGGCTTTGTGCGGCGGTGGAGGTGAGGTTGAAAGTGTGCGCTTGCGTCTCTGTGGAGGTGTGTGGTGAATGATCGCGCGATTGTGACAGGCTGCTCTTGTGATGAGTGTGTTTCCAACGCTCACACCGTGTGCAGCACGGCCTCGGAGACTGTGGCTGCTGGTGTGTGTGAGAGGGAGCGGGACCACGTGCGGCATTGTGTGTGCGGCTGTGGGGAGCTGGTGTCTGGTTGAGTGTTACCGCGTTTGTCCCCGTAGTGGTGTGCGACTGTGTGCTGTGTGACTGTGCGGCAGAGTTCAGGTGGGGATACCTGCGAGTAACTGCATGTTTCTGTGTGTGTGGCTGTAGTTAATGTGTGATCGTGACTGTGACCGGGTACAGGTGTGCGCCGACAATGTGGTTGTGACAATGTGGTTGTGACAATGTGGTTGTGACTGTGAATGTCTCTTCGGTAAGTGTGCACTTGTGCTTATGTGACCGATGGAGGCCCTCCGTGTGCGACCCTGTTGCTTTGGGCGTGGATTGTCTGTAGCTGAATGTCCCCATGGTGGGGATGTGATCAGGTTTGTGTGACTGGATAGACTTATCAGTGTGAGGTTTTATCACTTAAGTATACTTCTCTAGGCATTATACTCCAGTTTTTCCCCATTTTAAAACTTTATATTAATGTTGTCATACTGTCTTGGGTTTATTTTTACAATTCTGTGAATCATTTCTATTAGATAAAATAGCGGTTAATTCAATTTATTTGCTATATTGTATTCTCGCTTTTGAAGTATACCCCAATTATTCATCCTTTCTAGTAATGATGCCCATATTAGTTATTTATAGTTTTTTATTTTATAAACAACACAGCCACAAACATTCTTTCACATGGGGTACACATGCTTATTTACCAGCAGAATTGCTGGTTCGTATATCTTCCACTTTACTAAACAGTGTCAAAATATATACCAGAGTGGCTGCACAAATTTGTAGTTGAACAGCAGTGTTTGAAATATCTTTTTTTTTTCTTTTTCCTTTTGAGACGGAGTCTCGCTCTGTCGCCCAGGCTGGAGTGCAGTGGCACAATCTCGGCTCACTGCAACCTCCGCCTCCTGGGTTCACCCCCCCATGGAGAGCGTGGGTAGCATCCTATTAAACAATTAGCCCTCCTGCTCGTATGAGCCTAGCATGCCAACTCCCTAAGAAATCAACCCAGGACCAAACTTCATGTGTTCAATCCCCAAAAACAGCATGAGTTTTCCAAGCTGCAGCTCATGTGTACAGCCCCAACTCGAGAAACTACCCCAATAGTATTACAATGTAATCAGACGAGCCGGCCGCGCCGGTGGGCCTCAACCGCCTGGTTATCCCCCAGCACCTTTGGGAAGAAAAAAAAAGCAAGGAAACACAAAAGCGGCATCAAGGTCAAGAAAAGAGACATCCGAAGACAAGAAAAAAAACAACATGGTGAAATAAACAACCGTCTCTAACTAAAAATAACAAACAATAGCTGGCCGCAGTGGGCAGAGCCCACCTGCGTAACATAAACCAGCTACCTCCGGAAAGACGGAAACTTGAAGCCAAACGGGAAGGAAAAATGGCGTAACCCCCGGCGAGGTGGAGCTTGCAGTGAGCCCGACGATTCCGGCGCCACTGAACTACAGCCTGGGCGACAGAGCCGAGACCTCCGTCTCCAAAAAAAAATATATAATAATTATCTAATCAGACTAATATACTACAATATATTCCCCAAATGGTAAAACTGAGAACTATGCTACAATTATGCTGGAACAACATGAATGATTTCCAACATAATATATAAAAAGAAAGCCGTGGCATAAAACAAGTAGTGTGGCTCGTATAAAACACATATTATTACCAGGAGCTCAAGAATGGTAAGAACAGCCAGATGCACTCGGCTCATCCTATAGCATACCCAGCACATTTGGCGAGGCGAAGGCGGCACGGGCGGATCACTGAGGTCAGGACCAGCCTGGCCAATATGGACGAAACCCTGTCCTCTCCGAAAATTACAAAAATTAGCCAGGCATGGATGGTTGCGGTGCCTGTAAATTCCCCAGCTACTCAGGAGCTGAGGCAGGAAGGAATCGCTTGAAAACCCAGGAGGTAACGAGGTTGCAGTGAGCAAGGATCACATGGTCACTGCACTCCAGCCTGGCAGCATAGCAAGACTGCCCTGTCTCAAAAAAAAAAAAGAAAAAAAAAAAGAATGGATAACTAGTTAGATGTGATAGAAATTCTCCAACAGATTGTTTGGGGAGAAATACTCGAGAGAGGCCCATGAGGGGAACCATCTCAGGTCCTGGCAAAGTTCTTTAATAGACCCTAAGGGAGTGTTACAAACAGGCTGGGTACACTTAAGATTTGTACACTTATATAGACTCTATCTATGTATCTATTGACACCTCCTGCTCTCGGGGGTTGCCCAGCTGAAGAGCAGTGGTGGGGATCACTGGCTTACTCGCAAGCTGCGCAAAGTACTAGCTCAAGCAATACCTCCTCATCTCAAACCTCCCTAAGTAGCTAGGACTTATAGGTGCCAGCCAACCATGCCCTGGGCTAATTTTTATCGTATGTTATGTATGTATGGTAGTTAGGGGGTCTAACCGATGTTGCCCCGGCTGGTTCTCCAACTCCTGGCCCTCCAAGCGATCCTCCTTGGCCTTGCCCTGGCAAAAGTGCTGGGGATTACAGACCACATGAGCCCACAAGCTGGCGTTAAAAAATTTTTTAACTCTTGGAACTATGCTTTGCTAGTGGATACACGAAGCAATAGAATAATTTCAGCCGGGCGCGGTGGGCTCAACGCCCTGTACCATCCCAGACTTTGGGAGGCCCGAGATGGGTAGGATCACGTAGGTAAGGAGATTCGAGGCACCATCTTGGCTAACACAGGAACCCCGTCTCAGGTGGCTCACGCCTGTAACCCAAGCACTTTTGGAGGCGAGGCAAGGTCGGAGTCACGAGGTCAGCAGAAGATCAGACCATCCCTGTCTAACACGGTGAAACCCTGCCTCCTACTAAAAACATAAAATTTAGCCGGCCATGGGCAGCACCTGTAGTCCCCAGCTACTCCGGAGGCTGAGGCAGAAGAAAGAAAAGGGCGTCAACCTGGGAGGCGGATTGTGGTGAGCGAGAATCCTGCCGCACTGCACTCCAAAACTGGGTGACAGAACAATACTCCATCTCAAAAAAAGAAAAGAAAAAAAAAAAAGAAATAATACAAAAATTACCCGGGCGTAGTGCGGGCGCTGTAGTCCCAGCTACTTCGGGAGTCTGAGCAGAAGAATGCGTG